ATGTCTCGTTTTTTTTCCTACTCGTTTTTCATCAAATTTATGGTTTTTGGTTCGATCGCGTATCGATCTACTTTTGTCCTTGAGAGAAAGATGAAATGAGAATCACACACAGATATAAATCACATACACAAAGAGAGGGAACAGATAAACTGGCAAAGGAAAGATGGAAAGAAGGAATTCGAAATACAAAATTCACAAGGTACATTAAATCCCTGCAAAACGATGCTTGGGGGATTGCAGATAAAAAAAATATGGAAACGGAATTCTCATTGAATACAGAATGCACGCGGTGAAAAAAATATGAACTGATTTCGATAAATTTGAAAGACTTTTATAGTTTTTAGGTGAATCTGGAAATAGGATTTCTTTGGAATTTGAATTCATACATAGTAATATTATAATTGGTTTAAATAGGGCGCCATAATTTCACGTACAGTATGTTTCATTATAGAGAGAGGTTGATTTTTTATAATAAAACTCAAGAGTTTTACAAAATTATTTTATATACATTTTATTTAGTATCTAAGCTACGGCGCCAAAAATTAATATTTAATCCATTCTCCTTCTTTCTCGGTCACACGGGTACATTTGTTCGGAATGCTTTTGCTTACATTTTCAGCATATTCGCGTTGAAAACCTTTCCACTGGCGCTGAATGAATGAACTGAGCTGCTTCAAATTGCGGTGTGTTTTACCACGAAGCCTTGCCTTAATAATAGCCCAAAAATTTTCGATCGGATTGCAATCGGGTGACTGTGGCGGCCACTTTATTCGTTTTATGTCATTTTCCCCTTTCCAAGCGATGCACAGACGACTTTTGTGTTTTGGATAGTTGTCTTCTAATAGAAGGCAATTCAAAATGTCGTTGCCATAGAACTTCTTGGCGGTGGGTAACAGTGTCGATGAATAATATTGGTTCATCCTCATGGTGTTCAGAATGCCCGTGAATACAGTCAACTTTCCAAAACCAGCTTCACAGAAGCAACCATAAACATGGACCTTTTTCGGATGCTTTACCGTGCGAACGATCACTCTCTTTTCGGCTCTAGACTAGGCATGGGTAGTGCTATTCACCAGCCAAAAGAATGACTCGTCAGTATATATAACTTCGCTCTAATCTCTTGTTGAATTTTGTTTTGCCCAGTCAATGCGTTTTTCTTCTGGTTTTCTGTCAAAAGTGATTTCTTCAATTTACTGCGATAACGAACACCGGCAACATCTAATCTTTTCTTGACAGTGGAGCACGAGATGTCTATTTGAGGATGCTATAGCCGTTCACCGTCTTGGCTCAACGACATACCTAAGTTTTCATCGAACAACTTGACAATCCGTTTATCTTGCTGTGGCGAGGAGGCTCGGTTTGGCTTCAGATTGGGCTGGTCGTTCACATTTTTTTCATGCTTATACTGCTGGATTCACTTTTTTACGAACCCTCTTGACTTTTACATGGTTTTGCGACCTTCACTATTGACCATTTTGGTCCAAACGGGTGCAAATGCAGAAAAACGGCTTCAAACCGTGAATGAAAATGTTCGGAATTAATGTTTTGATTGCACAACAAACACTGTATTTTATTTGAGAACTGTCAATGTTAATTGGCGTAGTAGCTTAGAGTCTCATCTGGCAACATCAAAAATATTTTTAAGATATTTGAAATTTGTGGTAGTTTAATCAACCTCTCTCTGTAATGAAACATACTGTAAATATAAAAATCCAATTTTCATCAACTAAAATATTTTTTAATTCAGGAATTCTAAATACGAAATTCATCCATCGTAGTTTTCAATTTTCTCTAAACCAAACATTTAAAACTAAACTTATTATAAAAAAAAATAAAAATAAAAACTAAATGTTTCAAAGTGTACAAAGTAGTCATAAATTGCATTCTTACCATTCATCGTGTTAGTTATACTGAATTTTGTTGGTTTTTACATTTATAAAAGTTTCATTTGGAGGGAAAAAAACATGGAGGATGCAATAACATCAATGCATTTGTGAACATGAAAATGTAATATTCTTCTTTTTGAGAGCCGAAACGATTCGAAAGATTGATTTTATTATCATGGTATTGCATTTCAAAGCCTTAAGCATATAAAGATATAGATTTTTTTCATTCTAAATATAGATCGAAACGTTGTTTGCAAGATATTGAGAGGAAACTGATTTATGGTCCATGTCACAGAGTGTTTCGTATATGCGGAAGCATCCAAGAAAGATAGTTTTCAAAATAGCAACTTCATTCATTTTGAAAGATTTTTTGTACATCTGCATTTGGGTTTCTCTTGCATTTTTGTAAAATGGCTGTTTTATAGAATGCATCAATGTTATTTGTACCTGAATATATATTTGTGTGTGTGTGTGTGTGAAAGAGAGAGAGAGAGTTTGGAAAGAAGACTTGAAAGTGGGTGGAGTCGAAATGTTCCATTCTTAGGACCAAAATTACTCACTACATTCATTTGTCAATTTTCATAAGAAAAACAAAAATATAGAAATCAAATATGAATAAAGTTGGAACCGTTCAACCTTTATACGAAAATGAAAACTTCACAGTTTAATTCAATCAAAATTTCCCTGCTATCTTCAAAAATTTATATCTGTGTCGTGAAGAACTATAAAAATAAAAAACGACTATCTCGTTCAAAAATTTCAAATTTCCAAGTAAAGATACCACTTATCAATTTATTTCAGTCACCTCCTATGTTATATATGCATTTTTCTATCAAAAGAGGTTACTTTTATTCTGAATGATAAATAGTTGGGTAAAAACAACCATTACATTGCTAGTATTAACCCAATTTTCACCAAAAATCAAGTTTAAATCATTACGAAACAACATCTTCTCTTTCCACCAAAATAGACAATTTGTTTGAGAAGCGACTACGACCACAAATGATTGTTCAAGATTCATTCCTGATGAGATTTCTTTTCGAAATCAAAAAACCTCAAACTACACAAAATCTCAAATTTTCAATGGTTGTATTGCAATCAAATGAAATCACAGGAGTAGTCTTACATTCATTCTCATCAAAAAATCATATGTTACAATAAAATACAGTACTATTATTATATAATAGATTGATTGTGTTCTGTTAATTCCTGTGACCTGAAATAAAACTAATTATAAAAACTAAATTTATGTTCCTGTTATATTTTTAACTAATTCTAATTAGCAATTTGAAAGGGCATATGTATATCAAAGACAATTTTCATCCGTATGTTACATATTTCATGTTATGAAAATCACAATTACATAATTAGATATTTATAGTAAAATTATTTGAATATCATTATTACAATATTATAATGAAAAATATTCTGGTATGGACATTTCTTTATAAAACAAAGCAAACATTCAATAATTTGGTCGAAAAAAAAAGAACGAAAACAAGTTATTAAATATTCTTTTGTTCCAAATTTGCATTTTGTGTTTGCTCGCACATTAAAAAAACAAACAATTGTTGTACAGTTTCTAGTTTTGTAGGAGTGAGATTTAGTAGCCATCTCATCATGTTGTTTTATAAAGCTGTTTCCGTTCTCCATTACAACCACATAAGCACAATATAAGACGTTTCAATGACGATTGATGTAGTTTGGTTTCCTCGTGTACAATGACGGAATAATACGTGAGCAAAACGAAGGTTTGCCAAGAATGCGCTGGTTAGTATACAGTACATGGCATGCGGAACGTTGAGCATACATTTGTAGGCCACTTACATACGGCAACAATCGTATAGAGTCGATCCGCAAGCAAAAACTATCGCACGTGTGCCACTCACTCAGTCAAACTTTTTCGCTCACTATAAATGAATGTGTATTCGATCGAATCTTGCACCGATCAAAAGCACATGCAGATTCGATTTCACTATCTATGAACTATACACGAAAAACCATACTACATTAAAAAAAATTCTCAGTAAAATGTTCAAATCAATTAGTAGTTTACTAGTTTACAATCCGAATCTGTTTATTTAACAAAATTTGTTAAAGAAAGGCGAATTACGTCTTGATGTGTGAGAGCATCGTTGAACTATATACATACATATATACGTATTATATAGCGCTTGGTGATGATGATGAAATGCTAATACTACATCAATAAAATGAATACTTTTCCGATTCGGCTAAAATTCATATGACTGTGTCAACATATTCATATAGTCATAGCGACTTGGATATTGAATGAACATTCGTAAGATTTAGCGCTTAGCATCGTAATTTAAAACATACTTTCCAATCGCTACACACGTATATACAAGTCTGTCCTCTCAATTATATGGCAACGTTTCTTTATTCACATCATGGAACGTAGGAATAAGGACAACAATGATCAACATCGAAAAAAAAAAACAACAGTAAAAAGCGCACGAGAAAAGAAAGAAAACCAAAAGAAATAGTAATAGCAGAAGTATTTCTTTCTTTGTTGTTTTTTCGGTGGTGCTATTTGAGGAGATAGGTGGTTTTACAAGGAAGAGGAGGGAAAAATCAAAATACTTTGATGATCAGTACCAAAAAACAGCAGATATAAATCTTTAAGTCAACCGATTTAAATATTTTGTATTTTCTTGTATCTTCACTTATAAGACAGACTCTAAGACAGACTAATGTTTAGAGAGTACCATGTGATGCATTTCAATAATATTAAATGATATTTAAAAAGAGCAACGATTTGATCATAAAAATTATTTGATTTGTGTAAATGTATGATCAAACCGAATTTGTACCATGTCGTAAAGATTTGGTGTGAAACTGAGAGTATAGGTAATATAAGTCTGTTAAGTCTGCGCACCGCATTGTTTGTCGAATTTCATTTCGTCTGTACACTGTCGTGTGTGCATGTGTATATGTGTATGTATACTTTTCAGGCCGTGTCTGTATTTGTAAATAGTGAATGTGAAAGAGAAACGTTGTGAATGTATAACGATGTTTGTATGCATAGCTATTTGTTTATTATGTTATACATGTTGCTTTACTCCTACCTCGGATTGGAACAGTCGACATCAAACTGCCGTTCAGTCATCACGGCTAAACAATAATTTTTAAACCAAAAGTATTTGTGTTGTACGCGCTTTGAGTGTACTACTAGTACGTATGTTCTACTCCACGTTCGTATTTCGTTTGCATCGCTTATCTATTAAACTATTTAATTTTACACTTACAACTTTATCGCGTAGTGTATATATTTCGGTTCTAATGCATCGAAATTGTTTTTGTTGACGGTTTAAATTTGGCCATAAATGATTGATTCTTGTGTTAAAAGAAAAATCAAAAAGACAATGGACAAGGCCATGTTTTAAGATAGTTTGAACCAAGGAATCCAAATCTGTGAGGTTGCAGTGTTGCAAATGAAACATAGTAAAGAAACCTGACCAAAATTAGAGTTCAAAGTTACGAATACTAATTAAATAAATTGAAAAAAGCGGTAAAAATTGTTTGAAAAATATTAAAAGAAACAAAATATTGAATTGTTAAACGCCGTGAATTTGTACAACAACGGAGTCACAATTGGATTTTCGCAACAACGAAACACACTGGAATTAGCCGTTAACATATGCCCTGAATTTGACACATCACACCATCTTTGCCAATATTTGCTGAAACATTTAAAGGATTTATATGAAAACAGCAACAGCCACCAGATTAAAATGTAACTAACAACTTTTTTCTTCAATTAGTGATTTCGTATGTACGTGTATATGTGTGAGTGTGCATGTGCATGTGTATGACTTGTGGAAAGGAATAATCAGTGTGATATTATTTATAAAAGAATTTAATGAAGAAGGAAAAAAAAAATATTACCGCCAAAAAGTTAATTTCACATTCAATGTAAAATACTAAGAAAACATTGTTCCTTTTTCCTTATTGAGTGTTGAATTGCCTTGAAGAAATGTTATTTTTCGTCTGAAAAAAAAAAACGTTGATGTCGAAGTTATTTACATGCTATAAATCTACGCGAAACTGAAAGAAATTGCGCAATCGTTAAAAATATTGTTTTTGCTTTCGTACGAATGGGCACAACGATCAACAACTACCATTTGTTAGCTTTCTCTCTTTCCGCGCTTCTCTTGTTCTATCTGTTTCATTTCCCTCTTACAACTAAACGTATTCCATTCATGTGCTACTTATTTGCAACGGAATCAAACGGAGAACAACAAATAGAATGTAAATGAAACCATATCCAGTCACTTTGTGTACTCGCCTTCTTTTTTTATGTACGTAGCATGCGGCAGAATAAAACAAGCGCGCAAGCGTAGCGTTAAAATGTGTGTTAATAGAGTCACAGCCAAGAAAACAAAGAGGCGAAGAAAACACAAAAACTATAATATTGACTGGAATGAATTTGCAAGACGACGACTGTGACGGAATGAGTTTACGACAACAACTATACGATATACAACAGTGATACAATGATATAAACAGCAGCCAGAGATCTCTTCAATCGAGCGATCTAATAGAGAATATATTCAAACAAAATAAATGTGTGATGAATGTTGAACGGATTTGGATGCGAAAGTAAATCATTTGATCAATTTATTTGATAATATTTATGCATAAGATGATCGTAGTACGAAAGTGGTTTCTTTGCACATACAATATTCGGATATATTTATAATTGCCGTCGATGATTAATAGGCTCACATTTCATAGATATTTGCATTTCTAAAAGACCAATAAGATAGCATTTGAATGATGTAGCACAATATTGGAATTTCTGAGTCACAAAAGTACCTAATGCACTTGATGGTTCTAAGAATACCGAAAACTTTATAACATGATCAGTGATCATATCATGTCAACGCAGTCATTTCGCACAACATGGTCGTTTTATATCATTTGGAAAATTTATTCTTTTTGTTCACGTTTAACGTATTTCAAATATTTCTGTATCCATTCAAATTTAAAAGAAGAAGAGCCTACTTTATATATTAGAGTGTCTCATCAATTGATCATATATTCAGTGAATTACTATAAATTATTCATTATGTAGAGAAATTTGCTTTGATGTAACACTCATGACAGTGTTTAGAAAAAAAGACAGAATTCATATTTTTTAATCGCAATCTTTATTCAATGAATATATTTTGAAAGTATATTTGTTGCAAACATAAAATCTAAAATTATATGCAATATTGAAATTATGAAGTATGGTTATATTCATTATGTTGTCTACCAAATACCCAAAAAAATAAAGAAAGGAGCATTGCCCAGCCGAACAATGGAAAAAAGAGCTAAGTAAAAAATAAATAATAAAAAATAGTATAAAATGTTTAATAAAAAACATGCTCGATTTTACGCAAGCCAAAATCTTTCAATCATAGAGAACCAGAATGAGAAAGAATAGAAAATTGGAACACTCGAGAGAGAGAGAGAGAGAGAGAGAGAGAGAGAGAAAGAGAGAGAGACAAAAAGATAAAAAAAGTGCAGAGATACTGACATAAGTCAACTATCACTCTAATTACATTACATTACATTACATTCATTCCTATCATATTCATTCTCAATCTCATTCACATTCCCATTCCCATTCAATTCGCACTATGTACGTCGACAATATTGTGACTGTTTAACAAAAAAGTTTGTTCGTTTTCCGTACACGTAGATTCACTGTATTCACAAACGTATTAAAACAGAAACCAAATGGAAGCGTTTTTTAAAATAGAAAATGAATGTATGTATGTACAAAAAACGTTACTGTATGTAATGTAAATGCACAACAAGTACAACAGTTGGGTTAGAAAAAGAAAGTGCTATACTATATATATGTATAGATATATAAATGTATATACTATTATGTTTTAGGTATCGTAGAGGCGCATTGGAAGATGCGAATAGAGGAAGCAAGAGTGAGATACACTGAATATAAGTGTACAAGAGTGACGCGCAATAAAGTCAAACATAAACTACTCAATGCGAATGGTATTAAAATGGAAGAAAAAAGATCGCAAAATAAAACCCAAATATACGAAATAAATAATACACTATATACATAACTTTTACTTTTAATATTAAAAGCTTAAGTTAGTGCGATGTTGTAATCATTACAAATACATGTAAGGCTTAAAACTCGAATATATATCCACAAGAAATAATACATATACGCGAAGGTTTAGCGCAAAACTTGAAGGAAAAATTGCTAGGCGCGAGTGGCTTTGATGTATTTGCATAGAAATTCGTTGTAAATGTCCAAAGCAAAAGCACTATATAAAAAAAAACTATAGTAACATTGTGGCTGTTGTTGTTTTTCTTCGCTTTCGATTTTCTATATATTCGATTCACGAGACATGCGTCTCTTCAGTACAAATGATTTAAAATAATATACCTTGAGCATTTTTTTAAAAACATTTCGACAAACTTGTAGTGTAAACATAAGTTTAAGTTTCATCAATAATGGAATAATGATGATCAACTTTTTCTTAAATGACTTTTAAATATTCATCAATGAGTTTGAGTTTTATTTTTTTATTTTTCTGCATTGAGTTGCAAAATAGATTAACTAGCGCTAAAAAATGGAGCAGTTCAACAGATGGTGTGATATTGAAAGGGATTCAATTGCATGGTATTAAAAAAAATCATTTCTTTCTCCTACATATATTTTGTAACGCGCACATTTCAACAAGCATTTGTGGCATTGGTGAGAATGATTTCAGATCGCAAATAAAATACCAAAGTTGAAAAATGCTTTTAAAGGAGAATGTAAGATGAAGTTGAATTGAGCAGAACTGAGCTGAACCGCTGAACTCGCCCATCGTATATACACGCTGCACAAGCACGTATTTCATTCCATTCAAACGTTTTGGCGTGAATAATGAAATTCATTCGATTCAATACATACTACCCATCCCATTTTACATCTTCACATGTATGATTAGGCAAAGCATTGAATTTAGGCCAGTAATTTCAGTTGCAATAATTTTCTAGTTTACATCTTGTTTATGCTACAACACCAATAAGGCATATTTTAAGCGCCTAAGATTTGCAAAATCGCGGCATTTGTATGGCTTCAGACAGTGGGCAATTTTCTTTGGTTGCAACGTTCGACATTTTCCATGCAAAAATTTACTACTTTTGAATTGTAAACCATGGCAAAATCAAAGTGAATGAAGAAAAAAAGAGATGAAATAATACCAATCATTGATCAGTCGCTGGTTTCATAGAATTCTGCTATTCGATCGCAAATACAATTCAATATTGAACGCTCTCTTCTTGTTTTTATGTACAAAGAGTATTCAGATTGAGCATTCCCATCACTCTGGCACAATGAGTTTTTGATTGTGCTGTGCGCACTCGCTTGCGAGAGAGACAGAGAGATAAATCATCAAAACTGAATCTGTATTCAACTATTTACATCACTAAGGCGTGCCTGTATAAGCGATTTGTAATACAATAAATGTCTGAGTGTCAGTGTGTGGCAAATGGGTTGTTGATGTAAAGGCAAAAGTTATGAAACCAATACTTTCAATTCCAATGAAATTGAAATCGCTGCTGCTCTCTACGAGGACGCCTGTGTGTATGCGAAAACTTTTTTTCTCTTTATTTTATTCGTGTAACAGTTCTTTTAGTTGTTAAGTTATATGTGGCTAGTGTACGTTGGTTTTTTTTTCTTCTTTCAAGTTTTTACATTCCGAATCAGCACGTCGTAGCACACACAGCAAAATATTGCACAATTATGTATACTTATAGTTGCTTTGTTCATCATTCACTAGATGTGCGCGCGCTCCGCTCCGCAAGTGCACATTATTTTTGTTTCTATTCTTTTTAGAAAGCATCATTGTAGAGTCGCATATACAATGATCATAATGCCGCTGATGCGAGTATTGATAAATTTGAATTGATCATATGAATTTACAGTATTTTTGTTCAGTATTTTATAAGTTCATACGAACTGTCTCTGTCTTCAATATAACTTTTAATTATTAATGGTCACTATGAAACAAATCATGTGAAGTAATTTGAAGAAAGCTTTACAACATCTTGTATTAACAAGAATGTCGTTGCTGCTACTTTTGCATTTATGTTTATTTGCGTAGGTGTATTACGTCAATAATATTTCCAGTATATCTAAAGTAAACTACAGTTAAAGTTGCCCCGAAAACGATAGAAACCCAAGAAACAATTTAAAAATATTCAAAAATATAAAAGAACGGTAAATACCAAGAGTTAAGTGATGTTATGTAATTTTAAAACGTTCGATGAAGAATAGCACTTATACTGCTAGCGTATAACAAAAGAGGTGTATTACAAAACCTTGCGATTGGTAATAAACGAAAAAAAGTGAGAAATGAAAACACAACAAAAACTCTCGAAAACAAAGCATGCCGACAAAAAGTAACAACGACTTCAAAGAAAATTAAAAATGATATTTTAAAAAGCGCGCAAAAAAATTCAAACAAACACATAAACAAATTCACGAACAAACCACAAACACACAAACTTGCCTGCTGTCGCATCTGTGTATGTTGGCTGTAAGTTAATGTTGGAGCACGACGATATTACGTATGTAATCGCAAAACTGGCTGTAACAAAGTTATTTCAAAATATTTATGAAAATCGTTTCTTTTGCGACGCAATACGGGTATTAGACTACAAATTTTGTCAATGAATGGGTATGTGTCTGTGTTAATTGAAAGATATAAACACAAAAGTGAA